GTAAATAAGTAAAAGGTTATTTTGACTCGAGATGAACTTAGAATTTCATTTTACATTTGAGTGAAGTAGGTGAAATTATTAGGGAACAACAGCCTATGGTTAAATTAGTTTGGGGAAGGTGTTGTATCTTAAGCAGAATTTAATAGAATTATCTCAGGATTGTTTATATTTAACAGTGTGTTTTGTAAATCTTGAAACTGATGGTGGTAGCATGTGTATGTTAGAAACTCTTCCGTGAAATATTAAATTCTGCCTGTATTTTCTGACCATCTATTGAATGCCAGATTCTGTTGTTTTAAAATATCAAAATGTGACACAATGATCTGAGTTGTCTACATGGTTATTCTTCATTAACCTAGTTAAGTTACCTTAAAGAAATAATCACTGATGATCTTATGCCATTAGAGTCATTAGAGTGAAGCAGATACTGCAACATGGAATGAAGTGATTAAACTGCTTACTTTCCCCCAAATTAATCTTACAAGTAAAGCTGCTGTCGGTAAAAAAATAGCAGTTTCTTTATATGAACTTTGATCTTCGTAATTGGCTCTAAAAATTAAATCAGAAACATAACATACCTAAATAAATTCATATTCTTTGTGGAAATAGGTATTAAATTTTTTTTGGTGGGACTTTTTATTTCTGACTTAGTATGACAGATTCTGTCTGTTGCTGCATTCATTCTGTGACATGTATCGTGTCTTTTCTGGAAAACGATAGTCAGGGAAGAGAATGAAAATAGTACGTTTTATTTGCTCCCGTTTTCTTCAGAATACTGTTTAGATATTATATACTAAACAACTTCAGGATGGATTTTTAAAAAGTAGCACATCATAGTTTGGTTTTAGAGTCCAGCATAATTAAGCAGTATTTTTGAAATTATTCCCAAAGTGTTCAAATTTTGTGTTGTATATAGTCAAAAATTGTTTTAGGGTTAGAGAGATAGTTACAGTAGATAGGACATTTGCCTTACACACAGCTGACCCAGGTTCAGTCCCTTGCATGCATATAGCATCCCATCCTGTCACCTCATCTCCCTCTCTGAGTACAGAGCCAGGAGTAAGTCCTGAAAGCCGCTGGTGTGGCCTCAATGCCTGACTCTCCTGAGCCCTTCCCCATAATAATCTTTGAATTAGCAGTTGGAATTTAGCTTTTCTCTTAAGATTTTGGCAAATTGCAAAATCAGCATAGATGTTATATACATGTTTTAAAATTCTGTAATGATAATACAAGCTCCAAGCTCTGATTCTTAAAAATTTTAGAAGCATTTAAATGTATATTTGATATATAACTTTATATCATCTGATATATAATTACATCAGAGTTAAATATTTGATTAGGGAAGTTTTTATTTTTATTTGGGGGATGGTGCAGTATACTTTATTGATGGTACATGACAAGATAGGGCTTCCTAAGTAAGGCCTCCTTCAGGGGTTTTAGGAAGGAAACTACTGGGTCATGAGATTTTCAGCATGTTGAAAGAGTTGGGGAAGGATTCCTCAGTTCCCGAAACCCTTATTTTTTATGGCGCTGGTGGTCCTGGGGGCATGTACACCCTGGAAGACAAGTGGATCATCAGGCTCATGATCCTCTTGCTGTAGGGAAACTCACTGCTTGACATAGTGGTCTTGCTAGCCCTGGCATTGAAGGTGGAGGAGTGGGTGTTACTGTTAACGTTACAGGAAACAGTCTGGTGCTCATTGTAGCCCAGGATACCATTGAGGGACACGTATGATGCCTGTTTTACCATCTTCATGACATATTTGATAGCTTTTTCCATTCTGCAGGTCAGATCCATGACTGGCATATTGAGTGTGGGGATGTGAAAGGCCATGCTTGCCAGCTTCCTGTTCACCTCCAGAATGACCTTACCGATAGCCTTGGCAGTGCCAGTGGCAAAGAGATGATGTTCTGAATCACCCCTTGGCCATCGTGCCAGTTTCCATGGTCTTCTGGATAACAGTGATGATGTGGACTCTGGTCATGATCCTATCCATGATGTCAGAGTTGCAGATGACTTTGGCTATGGAGGTTGAGCAGTTGGTACATAAGTTGTCGTTGACAATTTTGAGGGAGTTGTACTTCTCCTCGTTCATGCCTACCACAAACATGGGGGTGTTGGCAGAAGGGACAGAGCTAACTAACGATCCTTTTGGCCCCACCCTTCAAGTGAGCCCCAGCTTTCTCCATTGTAGTGAGGACATCAGTGGACTCTGTCATTTATCACCAGTGTCATCCCTTAGCTTTTGGCAGAATCTTGTTCCTTGTAGACAGACTTTTTGTTCTTGACTTTGACTGAATGAGCTTGGTTTGGATGAACTTGTACTGGAACATGTAGACTGTGTTGTTGAAGTCAAGAGAAGGGAAGTTGATGGCCACAGTTACCATTTTGCCAGTTGATGGTGTTTCTGGTACCAGGAGCCCAATATAGGAAAATCCCTTCACTCTGACCTTTATTTTTGTGTCTCAGGGATATGGTTGGTGCTGTGTATGCACTGTAGCACTGTCCTGTTGTTCATCGATATGCCCAAGCAGGCACCAGTAACGTCTCTATTGTGAGACCTGTTCCTGTGTTTGGCATATCGAATACATCACAGGTAGCTTGCCAGGCTCTGCCGTGTAGGCGAGATACTCTTGGTAGCTTGCCAGGCTCTCTGAGAGGGACGGAAGAATCGAATCTGGGTCGACTGCATGCAGGGCAAACACCCTCCCCGCTGTGCTATCACTCCAGCCAGTGCTGTGTAAGAGTCTTCTAAAATTTTTTTTAGCATTTTATTGTTTTTAAATTTTCCCTCTAATTGAGAATACTTGGTTGGTAGGCTAGAGAGAGAACGTAGAGGGTTGCATACAGCCAGCCCTGGTTCAGTTCTGGCACCACAGATTGTCCCTGAGCACCACCAGGAGTCACTCCTGAGGCCAGACCTAGGCATAGCCTCTGAGCCCTGAGAGGTCATGGCCCTAAACCCTCTGAACCCTCCCCGTAGAAAAGCAAAACAAACAATAGGCAGGAGGAAGCAACTGCTTGTGTTTATGCACAGCCACATATGCACACAATACTTTTTACTCTGTTTCATTGTTTAAAGATAAGCTGATTTGGCCACATGCTAATTAAATTGGTTGCGACTGACTTAATAAATGGGGCATGTATTAGTATTTCTACCAACTTTTATTTCATGACCCTAATGTTGCAGGATGCCCTATAGGTAGTAGTCATTCAACAAATATTTACACATATATTCTGTATCACAAGTTAAATTAAGTCTGCATCTGTTCATTCGTTACTTGGCTTGCCATATCCTTAACATACAAAAAAAGGCAGATTGATTAATGCCAATGTGGCACAACTTTAGCGGAGTTCCTTTTCTCTTAAAACTGACGTGTGGGAGATAGCTGAAGGGAATAGAGCCTGTGCTTTGCCTTGTGCAAAGTACCTGTTTCAGTCCCCAGCACCACGTGCCCACCCTCACTCCCAGACCTGCACCACTGGTTGTAGCCTGCTCCCAGTAGTGCTGCAGCATTAAATTCTCTGCACACACAACTGGGCCAAGTATTGACATGTATGTGCCTTGGCACTACTGGAAAATCTCTATATATAGCTTAACTAGGATAAATGTATATATATTATACATATATATTGCCATATCTGGCAGTGTTCAGGGGTCACTCTTAGCACAGTGTCTTTTTTTTGTTTGTTTAGTTTTTTTTACTGGATGAGGTGGGACTCCTGGGTGCTCAGGAGACTTAAGCTGTTTCACAAATGCCCTGTGATCTTGAAATCATCTCATACAAAGTGATATCACTGCTTAAAGGGGAATTATACTGCATACACCAAATAAAATCTTATCCTATTCATGCAACTTAGTTATGTTGCACTATGAATACGTCTAAAAGCTAATCACTATTCAGACTGAAGCCTCATATGTATTTACATGTAATTCCCACCTCATCTAGGACTAAGACTCAACTTACCTAGATCAGTGGTCTTCAGCTCACCATGCTGTCCATGCTGTAGGTGTAGAAAGAATGTAAACTACTGTTCTGCTGCCTTGGGTTTACTGCCAGTTTGTGGACATTAAGCAGTACAGGTGTTGGTCCTCACATGTGAAAGGGGTGAAGTATACTGATGTTGATCAGTTTTTCCCAAAGTGGGTGATTCTATCTATCCCTCTGGAATGGGTCTGGAGATTATTAGTAGCTTCGGATACTCTGTGTGTGTGTGTGTGTGTGTTTGGGTGTAGATGTGGGGGATGGGAGGTGTGTTTGTTCCCGTATTTTTATTCTTCTGTATTTGGGGGTCACACCCAGTGGTACTCGGGAAGCTCCTGGCAGGATGGGGGTGGGTATGTATGGGTGAGGGGAGTGGTGGGGAAGGCGGGCACACAGGGTGCTGGAGACTGAAACCAGGTTGACAGAAACTGGGTTGGCTGCAGTGCAGGCCACATACCCACTGTATTATTGCTCCAGCCTGTTACTTTAAAAGAGGAAGATTTTTTAAGGCCTGAAGAGTGATTATTTTTTCCTGAAAAGGGAGTAGGCCACATAAGCTTGGGAACCTCTGCTTTAGTTATTCATAATGCTGAGAATCATAATTTGATTAAATTTTGTTGGAGAGCGTTATAATCTGACTTGGGTCTTGGGAGGTGACTGCAAGTGATAAAGCACCTGCTCACATTCAAGGTCCTGAGTTTGCGCACATTAGGGGCCATGCAGGTAGTGTCAGGGATTAACTTGGACCCCTTCGGGGTAAAACCTACTTCTTAGCTGTTTGAGCGATTTACGCAGCTCTTGTATTAATTCTTAACATTTTTCCTTAGTGGATTAAAATGATGTTTGGGGTAACTATTTCATTGTTTGAATAAAGTAATTTCACAGAATGAAAGGCAAATCATTCAAGAACTGATTAGTAGAACAAAATACTATTTTTTAAAAAATGCTTTATTTACTATATGGGATTATGTCACTTGAGCAAATATTTTCTTTTTTCTAACCCCCCAAAATAGGTGAAGTATTACAGACATTTAGCACCTGATCATTTGCTGCAAATATGTCATCGATTAGGACCGCTTCTTGAACAAGAAATTCCCCAGAGTGTTCCTGGAGTACAAACTTTGTTAGGAGCTGGAAGGCAGTCCTTGCTTCGCACAAATAAAAGTATGAAAACTTCTAAATGGAATGTAGACTCTTTTTCACACTTTTTGTCTTTATGTCCAGTCTTCGTATTCATAACACACTTTTGTTTAATAGGTTGCAAACATGTTGTGTGGAAAGGATCTGCTCTTGCTGCATTACATTGTGGAAGGCCACCTGAGTCACCAATTAACTATGGTAGCCCACCTAGCATTGGTGAGTTGTTTGAATTCTTTTCCATGTTGTTAACCTTTCCCAAAGTGCTTCAGAAAATACAAATGGTTTTAGTTACATGAAATTAAAAAGTCATATTGTGCACACTATCATTTGAGGGAAAAAACTCAAAATTTCATTGTATGCATTTGCCTTATTGCCCAGTTAAAATTTTCATTTTATTTTTTTGTGTTTTAGGCTGTACTTGCGATGCTCAAAAGTTAATCCTGACTACATTTAGGATCCACTTTTGACATTGCTCAGTGAACCATGTGGGATGCTGGGGATTAAACCCCTGTTGGCTGCATGCAAAGCAAGCGCCTTAACCCCCTGTACTCTTTATCACTCAAGGCCCCCCCCCTCAAATTTTATTTTTTAAATTTTATTTGAGGCACCTTGATCTATAGCAAGTTTAATTATGGGATTTCATGTATACAGCATTCCAACACTACAGACTCAGATTGTTTGGTTAATCCTAATAGTAAAGAAGTCATTATGTATAATTCTGTATGTATTATACATAATGCAGGTTAATTAGTTGTTGGCAGGTTGATTCTAGTGCATCTGTTAAAATGTGTATCATTTACAGTGATGAGAAACAAAAATACTTGGTTACATATTTTTAAAGCTTTGTGCATTTTACTGCCTTTAAAATTTCACTGTTTTCTTGTCCCACCTTGCCTTTAAAATTTTAAAGAGGGAAAATTGATGTTGGTAGATCTTACTCTTGAAATGCCTTCCAGTCTTACACCTATACTGCCAGCAGACCATCTACCTGAATCCTTATAACATCACCCAAATTAGTTTTCTAGTGTAAGATTTATTATTTGATTTAATGTTTTTTTTTTTATTGGAATTGAAAAGTCTTCATTTTTTAGAAGTATGTTTTCTTTGGAATTGTAATTTAACATATGCTGTCCTATTTTTATCTTTATTATAATCTCTTTTTTAGTATTACGGGTTTGTTTTGGGGTATTTCATACCTTTCTTGTGTGTATCTCGTGTGTATTCTGGATTATTTTGAACTCTTTTCCTGAGTAATCTTTAGTTATATTTTGTGATGTGTCCACACAAATATCACCCATACAAAAATCATTTATGAATTGCATGTGGGAAGGGGGTGTGCTTGGCGGAGTGACTAAGGACCTATTCTGGATAATACTTTATCTGATGGTGTTGCTCAGGTTTGGGCTAGCCTTCTCTGCTGTGTGCTGCTGGGCCCAGATTTGGTGGTCATTCAGCTCTTGGTGTCGGAGGCCTGTAGTCTACCCTTTTAAACTTTTGCCCAATCCCTTTTTTTATTTTAACTTATAGTTATTCTGGTTCTTGGCCGTTGATGGGATTACACGGCGCCAGGGGGCCAGGTGGTGGGTGTGACCCCCGCCTACTGGAATTTGGAGGATCTGGGTGGAAGATGCTCGACTCCAATTCGAGTAGGCTTGGAGGTCTCGGCCCCGGAACCCGCGTGACTTTGTCCCTCTGCCACTACCTTCATGTGTGCGGAGAGTGGTCTCAGCATGGCGGTGGCTGGTCCTGGAGGTCTTCTGCTGCCGGAGCCCTGGTTGGGGCGGGGAGGAAAGCTCAACCCGCTCCCCTCCAAGGGACCCCGGCGAGGAACAGCCAGGCGCAGGGGCAGGAGACGGCCAAGACTCAGAGACTATAAAATCCAGCTCCCGGACGAGACCAGTGCAGTCTCAGAGGTCCTCAACTTAGCCGCCTCTTTGGAGAAAAAAAAACAACAGAGTTGTTGTGCTTCCTCTTCCTCTCTCCCAGAAATCTACTTTCTTTGGGTGCACCAACAGAAGTTCTGTCTACACCTCATTCTCCAACTGCCCCTCTGCTGCCTCTCATTTCAGTGTTCCCTCACCCCCAGGAGTGGTTTTGCCTACAATGGGTAACACAAGTAACACTGGACAGAATTATACTTCTAGCTTTTCACTGAAAATATGTTCATTTACCTTGTTTTTTTCTGAAGAATAGTTAGCTCCTGAAGGGTTTTATTTTATTTCTTTTTATTTATTTTCTTTTTTTTGAAGAATAAAATGTAGTTTATTCTTACTCAGAATTAGACATACAGAGTCTTACTCAATTCTAAGTATCAGTAAATATTAAATGAACAGGCAGTAGGTTACTGATAAAATTGTAAACTGAAACAAATTTAGAATGAAATGATACCTACATTTTCAGTTATCACTGGTTTTTTTTCCTTCACTTCAGATTTCCCCTGTTTCTACAACTCTCTCAGTTCTTGTTTTGCCTTCTAAGAACAGGTAATGCAGAGATACAGTATCTGAGTTAAGCTGCTTGTCTTGCATCTAGCTGACCCATTTTGATCCCCATCTTCTCCTGATCCCTGGAGTACAGAGCTGGAAATAGTCTCTGAACACCACCACGTGTGTCCCAAATCACAGGCTTCAGGCCCCAGCCTCAGCCCCACCCCAAATAAAAAAAAAAGAAAAAAGAAAAAAGGTAGTAATGAGTGAATGACTCCAAAGATGTGTTTGTATTTCCTCCAACTCCTGGGGCAAGTAAAGCCGAAGTATGAAAGACATTATGTATGTATTTTTTTCCTTTGCTTATTTTTTTAAAAAATTATAAATGACGTTAAAGATAGGGGAAACTGACAATTTCCTTAGTCTAGTTTAGATTGTTGCTCTTGTGTATGTGTTCCATTTTCTTTTGTCAGTAGATTAACTTTGGTTTTAGGGGTTAAGTGTGATGAGAGAGAAGTATCCCTTTCCCCTTTGTCATGTGTCTGGCAAGCAGTTCCAGTGACAATTAGGAAGCACTGGTTTTTATTCATTTCTCTCTATAATTTGGATCATGTGTATTTCCAGATTGATTAATGGGTTTTATGTTGATTTCATATGTATGTATTTGAAGTGAAGCAAGTAAACTTTTTCTACATAAAGTCTGACTTATTACCAGTTTGGACCTGAATCTTGAGCATTTTCCTAAACATACTAACTGGGCAGTTCATAATCAGCTGCATAGATCCTTAATGTAAACAGAGCAGCAGTTTATTCAATTCTTTAAGGAAGAAGGATGCAGAAGAGACATGACCTCAAGGAAATAAACACTCGAAAAGCTTTTAGGGGGGAGGGGCAGGTTGTATGTAGTTAGGTCATACCCAGTGTTGCCCAGGGCTTAATCCTGGCTCTCTGTTCAGAGATTACATCTGGTAGTGCTCAGGGGGTAGTATGTAATATTGAGGATTCAGTCGGGGTTGGCTGCATGTAAGGCAAGCGCCTTAACCCCTGTGCCATCTCTTGGAACCTAGACTCAAAAATCTTTAAAAAACCCCTGTGCCATCTCTTGGAACCTAGACTCAAAAATCTTTAAAAAAAAGACAAGATTGTTCAGTAAGATTTACTTTTGCAGCATATGTGCATTTGATTGTTTAAGAGCAGTTTAGATGCTAATGTATAATGTCTTTGCATTTACAACACATTGTAAAGAGGAAACTAAAAATTAGTAGAGGTAGTAATTTGTTCAGTTATTTACCTGATTATTTTGTTTTTGATCTTACGCACTTTGTATCACATCCAGTACCTTTTTTTGCCTTTGCTGCAATTGCTTATGCCCTAGTCTTCTACCACCTGTACCATTTATTGATTTGAGTACAGGAGTCTTTGAATTTGAAGTTTTTGTGTACTGTCAGATAACATACTTCCATTGAATGAGAGCATTAAATGATTTGAGGAAGCTTTACGAATCTAATTGGCAAACTGATATTGTTTCCTGAAATGAAATTTTGTCTTTTGGGTCCAGATTTCTTTTGAAATACTAGCTTTTGCTTCAGTTTAATGTCTTACATATTTCTCACTATAATAAAGAGATAAAACTGCAATTATTATGTAGTTTATTAATCTCTTTTTCATTAAAAATCCCTTCATTTTATATCTAAAATGTAAAATGCCTGACATAACTAAGAAAGAACTCTGTAGTCTGAGTCCTAACTTCTCATTGTCTTTTGTTTTACATGTTACCCTCTCTGCCCTGTGTATTAATAGTATGCTACATGTTCAGGTTTGGATGTTTTGTCTTTCTAGCCTCAGACCAGCATACATGCCCTTCTCTCATCTCTCCAGCCTTCTCTGGCTACTGATTTTTCAGGTCTTAGTTTAAATGTCAGCTTTCCAAAGACATCAGCCCGACGTCATGATAATCCACCCCCCTATGTTTAGGATTCTTTGCCATGTATTTCAGGAATTTCTGTACTTCAGTATTGTCTTTCTCTCATGTCTTTCCTCTAGGCTGTAATTTTTCTTAATGTAAGAAATATCTGTCTTGTCTTTTTTTCTGTACATCATTTAGCCCATATTTGGTGCATACAGGTTCTCTTCTAGTAAAGTCCACTCAAAGTAATTTTTTTTTTAAAAAAAATTCCTCTTAAAATTACTAAAAAATGTTTACTACTTTAGGCTCAAAATAATGTCAGTGTCTCTTCTGTTTGAAGAAGCATCATCTAGTTACCAGGAAAGAGGAGGCATAATACAAATGTCGTGATTGTGTAATTCTTGTAAATTATCATGCTCTTGTCTTTTTTTTAATTGTCTCTTGTTAGGTCCTTGGTTCATGAAACTTTTGCATAATTCTTAGGAATTAGCACTATTTTCAGTATTTGATTTCATTTATTTGAGTTTGTTATCAGACTTTTGTTTTTGTGACGTAAAACCGTAAAAAACAGTATTTTTCAACAGGAAGTATAAACAAACATCAGCCATAAATCTGTAGATATTTGGAGATTTAGTTACTCTTCACCCTAATCTGTTGAAGTGAGGGATGTGCTCATGGAAGTTGTGATTGCAGTGATTGTTTCCTTTTGTTCTTCTACTCTGTCTTGCTCTCCAACCCCCCCCCCCTTTTCCCTGTGGATGTAAAAAATATGATTACAAGATTACCTTTGAAAGTTACAGACCTGTTAAAAATTGGAACTTTTATTGTTACAGTGATTTGTTTTGTTCAGTATCTAATTACTGGTACAGGATAATATGGAGACT